AAGACAAGAAGGCAGAGATGAAAAGAGAAACCGGTGATAAAAGATGACAAACGGAAAGATGAGGTGGGCGAGGAGTGGCATGAGAAAGGAAAAAGTAGCAGAAGGGACAGGAAAATAAGGCAGGAGAGTAGGGCGCGAAAGTAAGTGAAAAGAAAGAGTCAAAAAGGAGATATAGAAAGAAAAGGGGAAGAGATATGGAAAATTGCGTAAAAAATGGAAAATGTAAGAGTGAGGAAGGGACAAGAGAAAAGGAAAGATAACGCTAAATATAAAGAAAATTGCAAAAAAAAAACGCTCTAGATAGAGATAGGGCAACATATAAAGAAAGTAAGAGAAAAGAATTATAATTCAGAAGGTGGAGAAGATTATCTTAAGGAGGAATATGAATCACAGAGAAAAGGATACCCAGGAAAAGAATAGAGTAGGTAGAGGAAGCGGAAGGGGAAGGGAATTGTAAGAGTGGGGCAATGGGAGGTGACAATGGAAAAGATAAATGCGAGATAAGGTTGGGCAAAAGGGAAGAGAGGTGAGGGAAGAGATGTCGGTCGGACTTGAATAGGAAAAGGAAGAGGACAAGCAAAGATTTATGAAGGGAAATAGAAATAGAAATGAAAAAGGAGATAGATGAACAGGAATAAAAAGTAGTCAAGAAGAAGGGAGTGGAAAGGAGTTAATAGGAAAGCGAAAAGAAAAACAATTTTCAAGATGGGAAAGCAGAGGAAGATGAAGCCAAGGAAAAAACAGTGAGAAATAGAAATTGAGAGAAAGGTGCGAAAATAAAATAGAAAAAAACGCGCAAGGAGGAACAGGGGAGAGGGAGAGGAGGCACTCGGTGAGATGATGAATAGGAGAGGGGAAAGAGTTATGATACAGAAGATTGGAAGGATAAGTAGGGGGGAACTTGAAAGAGAATAGAAAAAGGGAAAGGTAAAAGTAAATCGCGGAAGGTGAAAAGAATTAGAAAATAAAGAAAAGTTACCAGGTGGAAAGGCAAGGGAAGGGAGGGAATTAAGAGGAGAACTGGAATTTGAATAGGATTATGAAGTTGACGAAGAAGAAGAAAGCGTTGAAAATAGAAAGGGAAAGGGAGAAAGGAGTATACTCCAGGCTCTGGCTCGGAGCGGAGGGGAAGGGCTTCTTCGACTGACAGGGTTCCGCCAGAATCCGCAGGTTGCCATTGCGGCCGAATGCCGAAGGAGCGGACCTTGGACTGGTTGGAGGTCTCTGAAAGTTCAGAAGCACGAGCCTTCTTCGGCAGGGAGGAGTCTAATAGGGTTTACCTCGATTGCGTGTCCATGCAACCACACGAAGCCTGGCTTTACTACCCCTCCACTTTCTTTATACACGTCCAACGTTTATTGTCCTTAAAAGGAGTGTACTTGAGATTCTTGAAACCGCTGAGATTTCTGAGATTCCTGGCATTCCTGATACTCCTGAGATTCCTGAGAATTTTTTTAGATTCCTGAGATTGTCAAGATTCTTGAAATTCTTAGGACTTGAGATTCTTGAGATTCCTGAGATCCTTGAGATGTTTCATATTCCTGAGATTTTTTTAGATGCTTGAGATTCCTGAGATTCTTGAGTTTCTTGTGATTCCTGAGATTCCTGAGGTTCCTGAGAATCTGGAGATTCTTGAGATTCTCGAGAATCTTGAGATTCTTGCGCTTCCTGAGATTCCTGAGATTCTTTAGATTCTTGAGATTCTTGTTATTCTTGAGATTCTTGAGATTCTTTAGATTCCTGAGATTTTTGAGATTCTTGAGATTCTTGAGATTACTGAGATTCCTGAGATTCTGGAGATTCTTAAGATTTTTGAGATTCTTGAGATTCTTTGGATTTTTGAGATTCTTGAGATTCCTAAGATTCTTGAGATTACTGAGATTCCTGAGGTTCTCGAGAATCTTGAGATTCTTGAGTTTCTTTGTGATTCCTGAGATTCCTGAGATTCTTGAGATTTCTGATATTCTTGAGATTCTTGAGCTTCTTGAGATTATTGAAATTCTTCAGATTTTTGAGATTCTTGAGATTCTTGAGATTCTTGAGATTCTTGAGATTCTTGAGATTGTTGATATTCTTGAGATTCTTGAGATTCCTGATATTCCTGAGATTCCTGAGATTCCTGAAATTCCTGAGATTCTTGAGTTTTTTTAGATTCTCGAGATTGTTGAGACTTGAGATTCCTGAGATTCATGAGATCCCTGAGATTCCTGAGATTGTTGAGATTAATTGAGGGTATCCATGTTTTCTCGAACTCAACATGAGGTGGACATCGAAGAAATTAGGGGAAGGTGTTGAGTTATTAATTCTCCCTAATTCTTGAGATTTTTGAGATTCTCGAGATTCACGAGATCCGCGATTCTTGAATTTCTTGAGATTCTTGAAATTCTTGAGACTTTTGTGATCCTTGAGACTTGAGATTCTTGAGATTCTTGAGATTCCTGAGATTCATGAGATCCCTGAGATTGTTGAGATTCTTGAGATTCTCGCGATTCACGAGATTAGAGATTCTTGAATTTCTTGAGATTCTCGTGATTCTTGAAATTCTCGAGATTCTCGAAAAATCTTGTGATCCTTGAGATTCTTGAGAATATTGAGATTCCTGAAATTCCTGAGATTCTTGAGATTCCTGAGATTCCTGAGACTCCTGAGATTCCTGAGATTCTTGAGATTCTTGAGATTCTTGAGATTCTTGAGATTCTTGAGATTCTTGAGATTCTTGAGATTCTTGAAATTCTTGAGATTCTTCCAGAGATTCCTGAAATTCTGGAATTCATGAGATTCTTGAGCTTCTTGAGATTCATGAGATCCCTGAGATTGTTGAGATTCTTGAGATTCTCGCGATTCACGAGATTCGAGATTCTTGAATTTCTTGAGATTCTCGTGATTCTTGAAATTCTCGAGATTCTCGAAAAATCTTGTGATCCTTGAGATTCTTGAGATTCTTGAGATATTGAGATTCCTGAAATTCCTGAGATTCTTGAGATTCCTGAGATTCCTGAGACTCCTGAGATTCCTGAGATTCTTGAGATTCTTGATTCTTGAGATTCTTGAGATTCTTGAGATTCTTGAGATTCTTGAGATTCCTGAGAAATTTGAGGAGATTCATTCTTGAGATTCTTGAAATTCTTGAGATTCTTGAGATTCTTCTTGAGATTCCTGAGATTCTTTAGATTCTTGAGATTCTTGAGATTCATGAGATTCCTGAGATTCATGAGATCCCTCAGATTGTTAAGATTCTTGAGATTTTTGAGATTCTCGAGATTCACGAGATCCGAGATTCTTGAATTTCTTGAGGTTCTCGTGATTCTTGAAATTCTCGGGAATCTCGAAAATTCTTGAGATTCTTGAGCTTCTTGAGATTCCTGAGATTCTTGAGATTCTTGAGATTCTCGAGATTACTGAGATTCCTGAAATTCCTGAGATTCTTCAGATTCCTGAGATTCCTGAGATTCCTAAGATTCTTGAGATTCTTGAAATTCTTGAGATTCTTGAGATTCTTGAGATTGCTGAGATTCCTGAAATTCCTGAGATTCTTGAGATTCCTGAGATTCCTGAGATTCCTGAGATTCCTGAGATTCCTGAGATTCTTGAGATTCTTGAGATTCCTGAGATTCTTGAGATTCTTGAGATTCCTGAGATTCTTTAGATTCTCTACCGGAGCAGCAGAACCCACTTTTGTTGCACGGAGGGGAATCAGTCCCTCGTTATTAAGAAACCCCTACAACTTTGTCACAGCGCGGACGTAGGAGGTTATCGATCGATCGATGATCACGAATTTGATAGTTTCTGATGGGTTGTCGCTTTGGGACCACAGAAGCAGAAGTATCATGGAGGATCTTCTGTGGTAACATAGGGGGTCTCCCTGGAGTTCTAAAAACTTCGTAAGACTCGGGTAAAAGAGGGGGGACACTGAGTCTTCCACGCGGAAGATATACTATATCAATTCCAACATGCTTACAGCCTCGTGTGCAGACCGGAGAAGAGAATATCTGCCGAGGGGGGGGGCTCTTGAACAGGGGGATCGGTACACTCTCCGTTATCCCGGAAAAGACCGATGCACAATGCGCGTTTGGTGTGCTGCCTGGTCGGACTCCCCTGTGATTGAAGAGGTAGAGGGTCAAATTTCAGAGTAAGAGGGTACCACTGAAAAAAAGAAGGGGAAAGACAGAGGAAGTGCAAAAAAGCAATAGTGCATTTAAAAAGGATCAAGGAACCGTTATCGTTGGGTAATCGTATCAAAATCAATTAATTTTGGGTGTTTCCGTCACAATACAACTCAGCACAAACTTATTTGAATGTTATTAGAACCTAACGGAACGGAATTGGACTTTGATTTGAATTTAAACCGTGGCTCTTCATTGTTCTTTTCGCCATGGGATTTGCTGAATCTAGCTCATAAATTAAAACATTCATTAAGGCTCATTTCAAAAGTTGTGTACTGAAAGGTGAGGTCGAGCTCATTTTTTTGTAACTTTTGCGTGCATCTTTTTAGTATCATAAGATAGTCACTGGGTAGAATAGACCGCTTGAAAATAGAACGCTTTTAATCTTTTAACAAATCAACATAAAACTGTCATTGGTACCACGCGAATTGTACAATGTGCTAAAGCCAACTTTATTATTTCGACTTTTCGGCAATAAAAATGTCTAAATCTGATCGTAAACTCCCACAATCGAAAGAAAGCGTTTATTTTGAAATCTGTGCGAAATTTTAACAAAAAGAATTGAGTTAATTATTATCTATACAAAAATTAAAAAAACCACTAAAGTTGGCACGCGAATACAACCACTTAGTAAATTTAAATAAAAATAGAAGCAATAATAAAATGTAAATAGAAGCATACAAAATGCAAGAAAGTCAAGGATGTCACCGCGTTAATATTAATAAATTTCCCCATTAGCAATTCAATTGCCCATTGAAATCGCCAATACATACAATAGCAGTAGGTATCAATTGGTCCAATAATAAATCACGCACACTTTTAAAGCGGAATACTTACGCAACGTGTCGACTTGCAAACGAAAATTTCCATTTATCAGCTTCGTCGTGAGACGAGACGTCCTTTAGTGACGAATTGACGTGGCACAATAAAATCGCAAATTCGGGCGAACTAAATTCGGAACGCGCGCCGGCGGCGAAGGGAAGAGAAGAAATGAAGAAAAAAAAATACAATTCGCTTTCGTTTTGAAAATTTTACTTCGCGAATCTATTTTTGCGCAGGATAAGCTGTATCAATTTATTCTTGGTGCTCGATTAAAGACGTCTCGTAAATGGGAAATGGACGCGCCGAAAATTGGCAGCGTTCTTTTTGCTTAATGCACTTTGCGATGTTATCCATTTTCGCGGTCCGCACAAGGTCTTCCATTACTCCAATTGCCATAACCCATCTGGCTACTCAAAGCTACTTTTCGCTCAACTTCGAACTAATGCAGGTTGCTGATTAAAAACCTTAGCCTTAAGACTGCCAATTTTCAAATGTGTTTCATTAAGGCTTTTGCGAAGCTTCTATTGAAGAAATTTGAAATTGAAGCGTTGAACTAGACACTTAAGGCTAAAGGTTCAAAATATGAGCCTAGTACACCAACCATCGAGGACCGTTCTCCTCAAAACGCGCACATTTACCGCGGTTATCTCACGACATACTTTTGTTTACGTTCCCTATGAAGCGGTATAAGTGTGTCCTACGTTGAATGAAATACAAATTATTACCAAAGGTTTTAAGGGTCTCGAATAGCTTCAGTAGCCATATAGAGCTGGTTCCAGACCAATTCAAGGACGCTCGCCACCTAGTAGTGGCCTTAGAAAATAAGCCAACGCAACGTTTGAAGGTCACTCGCCTCTTGGTGGTGACCTGGAAAAGAAAGCCAAGGTGTGAAGTTCAAGGGTTGTGCTCCATCTGCCGGTGACCTTGGAAAATAGGGCAAGGTGAAACTCAAAGGTCACGGGTGCCACGTTGTCTCCTCGGCGAGTGAGTCGATCGGTCCTAAAACTTTTCTTTTCCTCAGGTGTCCAGTTGAAAGTGCGAGTCGTTCATCATTTTCCTTTCAAATAATGACCTTGCAAAAGTACGTTCTCTGCACTTCATCTACTTTCGTTAATATATGTGGGTATTTCCTTTGCATTTCATTTTCAAGGTTAGTGAAGGTCAGTCAAACTTTCATTTTCAAGGAATTTGGGCAATTGTTTGGGTATAAACTTCCAAATTTTGGGCGATTTTTGAGGGAGGTGAAGGTCAAAGGTCGCCATCACCTGGTCGTGACCTTGAGAATTCAGTCAAGGTGAATTTCAAGAGTATCTTGTACGATCCTAAGGTTAATGATGTAGTGATCCTCAAAATTAAGTCAGTGTAAAGTTCAAAGTTCGCTCACCGTTCAGTCCAAAGTTTGATTACCGTTCAAAGTTTGCTCACCGTTCAAAGTCCAAACTTTGCGACATGCATTTACTAGAGAGCATGCCACTTGGAATGTATTTTTGATTTCTTATGAGGCATGCCTCCAAAGGCCTCCAACAACCTATTGGGCCTGTTGAAAGAGGCTTAGATTATGTCAAAAGTTCCAGAGATGTTGAAAGCCTATATTTAGGATTGAATTTTAAAGCACACGCTTTGAGAAACCTTCAGGAGCTCTTACAAAGTTCGTAAAAGATCAAAAACGTGCTTTCTCACCAAGACGCTTCAATGGTCTTCCCAGACTTCTCCGTAAGAACTGTCCTTTATCAGTGTTTAATGGTTTTTAACAATCTTTGAATGTATCTAATATTGAAATCTTGACAGACTTTTGGAAACTTTTTACGAGATTTGAGGGTTTTGTAACGGGTGGTCGCCTTAAAATTATGTACCGCTTGATAACGAATGTGAACAAATGTATGTCTGGCGATCAATAAATGTCTCTGCTGACCTGAAAGTTCCGTTCCGTTTTTCTAAAAGCCGAGCACGTGGCGGAAATACGGGTTTCCTATTCGTTTAAAGAGGTACGCGAGTCCGGCTATTTGCGTTCGGAAAATAGGTCTCGTTTCAGAGCTTCTAACGGGCGAGATTTAAATAGCGAGAGAGATGGGAGAGCGGTAATTGTACGCTTGAATCTCTGCAAGATTTAATAGGTTTTCAGGAGATACGCCAGGAGTTCTAGTGGCGTAGAGAGTTCCTGAAGTCGCTTCAAACTTAATAAACTTTATTCGTTTGTAGAAAGCGCGACCTAGGATGGTTTTCCAGGCTGTAATGAATTTTTTTGCGTCCGTAAATATTTTTAGAACGTTCTTAAATTACCGAAACGCTTTCAGTGGTCTCCGTGCCCTTCAAATGGCCTTAACAACTCCGTACGCGTTTCCCCAAAAATATAAGGATCCGTAAGGGCCTCTAAGGGTTTCGAACGTATTTAGTTAAAGACCCTTCACGAGCTATCAAAGCCGATAAGTGCGTAAAAAGATATTTAAAAGGCCTTTATCAGTCTTTTTCAAGGGGGTATTCCCCACCACCACCTACCCCGCACCCCCCGACCCCCCGATTCCACATTCTTCCTCAAAACGTTTAGAGCCCACAAAACTTTGACCATAATAATTATTTATAGCTAATCGTTTTGAATGAAAACGTAGCACGGGGGGGGGGGGGGCTTGGGAGTATGTAAAAGTCTTTCCTGCACCGCTTGTGTGTTCTCAGTTTCTGATTTTCTGCCTTCTGTTTTCATTCCTTCTCTTCCAATCGTTCTCATTTGCTCCCCTTTATCGCCTCCGGCGCTCTCTATGTCTTTTTTTACTTTGTCTGTCTTTATTCTATGCATTTCTCGATTCCAAACATCTTCTAAATGTCCTTAATATTCCTTTCTGTTTATCATCTTCCTGTGATTCGTCTTCTTCTACTTGAGTGTCCTCTATTTCACCCTAGAACATTTTTTTGAAAGCTCAAAACACTTGATCAGCTTTTCCTTGAAAATATGTAGCCTGAACACAGAAGTTCGTCTGAATTTCTCTAGAATTTCTTTACCGACCACCAAAGATAATCCACCACAGCACCATGGAGAAACGTTCCCCCAATCGCCCATCTAAACTGGTCCTCCCACGTAACTCGGCATAGGTACATTCAAAATCCTCGGGCGCCATGATCTAGCTAGAGGATTTTCCCACAATCGGATGGCCCAACACTTATCTCGGAAATTTTGGTACACCAATTTCGCTTTCACTTCGCAAAAGCGCACCAGGTGACGCGAACCTGTCAGTGAACCCCCCCCCCCCCCGGCCCCGACCCCCCTCAAAACGTTTAGAGCCCACAAAACTGACCATAATAAATCTTTATAGCTCAACGTTTTGAATGAGAACGTAGCACTGGGGGGAAGGGTCTTGGGAGTATGTAAAAGAGAGGGATAATAAATAAATAAATAAATAAATAAATAAATAAATAAAAGCCCCCAGTAAAATACCACCACCACTCCCTATACGTAGATTTTATGACAGTAGAGAAATGAAAATTGCATATTTCTTTTCCTGGTGGATATTCCATCCCCCCCTCTCCCCGACCCCCCGGTTTTACCACAAAACGTTTAGAGCCCTTAGCATTTGCACCATAATTTTTCGAAAAAGCCTTTAGTTAAACGTTTTGAGAGAGGACGTAGCACCGGGGGCTCTGAAGATATGGACGATTCTATTCGGCAGGTTTATATTGGAAACCCCAAGAAACTTTTAGAAGCCACCAACAGTTTCTAAACCTCCCAAAGTTTCCACAGCCTTCGAATTACTTTTGCAACTTTAAGCCGACCTTTAAGAGCCTTTAATACTGTTCCGAACTCTGGTAAACTTTTAAAACTGTTTACGACTTTAAGGGCCGATTCTACAATGAAGGTATATACCCAGAATAAGCTATACCTAGAATAAATGTCGACGGTTGCGTTGGTTACCATTTTGTCAACCAATGGCATACATGTTGCTATGGCAGTTATTCCAAGAATATCTTATTCTCCGTAAAAGTGTAATTGTAAAACCGGCCCTTAAAGGTTTGTAGTTTAAAGTTTTTAAGAGAAGCCTTAGAAAGTCATTAAAAGCCTTTAAAAACTGATGCTGCCACCTCTCGTTTCCGCATGCAATTCAATTCCACTTATCACCTCTACAACGTGCGTCTTTTGACTTAATATAATCTCGTGATAAACTTAGAGGTTGTAAAGATCCAAACTTCTGATCTTAATCTAAAGGTCTCTGAGGCCCTTAAAAAACAAGCTTACAACGTTAAGCTTAAGGTCTCAAGCCTTAAGTGTCCTAGTTTCGAATTTCAAAGTGTAACGTTCTTGACTCTTTACATTTCGGGTTTGTGCTTTGGGGTTTGGATTGTTTTAAATGTTGAACCTTGGGCTTTGTTTCGCGTTAATGTTGGAGCTTCTGGCATTTAAGCTTTAGGATTTTGGGTCTACGCTCCAGGATAGAAGGTCTATTATGTTTGGATTAAATCTTTTTACTTACTATTTTCCGACATTCTCTGACAATTAGATAAATTACGCAAATGGAGAAAGTTCCAACATTCCCCAAACCAAGGTTCGATTTTGCCGCACTCTTATATTTAGTTTCGCTTTTTACTCATAGTGACGTCAATCACAGATCTTTACAATAATAGTCCACAGGCGTCACGCTTGTCAATTAAGCGAGTTATTTTTGAAAAGTTAGCGAAAACGCTCCAATCGGAAACCATGCAGACGGAGTTTTTTTTTGGGCAATGTTGGTTGCATATTAAATACCAATTGCCCAAGCGAACGATGTATTGGTGATTTCATTAGTGGTTCCAATAATAATCTTGGGGAAAACAATTCAGCATGTTTTATTGTAGTGGGTGTGCTTTATCGTGGCAGATAAAGCAGAAAATCCCTTATCATTGAATGAGGAAATCCCTTTGAAGTCTTATTAGGTTCTTCCCGGGGATTTTTGCACATCACAAGAAAGCGAGCACTAAACATCGACGAATTCCGTATCAGAAGAACATAAAATACACCGGTTTGAGTTTTTGATAGAAGTCCTTGTAATTATAGTCCTGTGTTCCTGATACAAAGTTCTCAGAAACCAGACGCTCCTGGTAAAAGGCATGACAATAAGTTTTAGATTTCTGAAATTGAGGAAAGATCAGTTGCTTTTCCAGCGTTCTTTTGCCAATGCACGCTCCTGATACCAGTTACTCAAGGATTATGAGCTTTTACGCTGATCTCGCATCCTGTTCCAATTATTTATTCAGTTGCTTTGATGATGATGTAACCGCACTTCTTCACATTTCTATTTTTTTATACCTTTATCGCTCGTATCAGGAGACATCTTTTTAGTATCAGGAGAACATATAAAAAGAAAAAGAGATGTAACCGCTTGAACCTCTCTACGACCCTAACGTTAAAGAATATTAAAGCAAAAGGGAAACCCAAATCATCTATTCAGTTTAGTATCAGCAGGAGGGTAGTCTTTGGTATCAGGAGAGCATACAAGAAAAAGAACCAATTTAGCTTCTAGCAACTGTACGCTCTTGACACATTTAGAAAATTTAGAGGAAAGGAAATCCAAACCTATTTTTTAAAAAGTCGCTGTAGTACCAGGAGAATATATTAAATAAATAACCAATTTCGCTCCTTGCACCTTTACAGAACGGGAAGGAGGGTGTTACCGGGAGGCCTGGGGGGTACGCACTACCACTAAATACCTTACATACAGTGGTTCCGACACAATATTGAGGGGTAGGAGTCGTCGAGTCTTTTTTAGCCACGTGCTTAAGTCTTCCTTTGCGCGGGGAGGGGGGGGGGTTATACCTTCAGACCCTACGATCCTATGTCCAATGGAATATTCTTTTGCAGAAGATCTGATCTTTTTCCCAAATACTATTTCAGAATTCTTGAGGGCTAAACATCTTGTAACCAAGGGGTTTGGAATAACCCCCCCCCCCCTTACATTATATACAGTGGCTCCGCTATAATTTTCAGAAAGCCCTCGTGACATGGTAGTGAGGATTAGGGGGAAAGGGTCGTGAAGTGTTTCTTTGATTGGTGTTTTTAAATCATCACCACGTTCTTGAATCTTCCTTTGCTTGGGGGTATGGATGCTCCCCCTCCCGGTCCTATGACCGATGGAATATTGTATTGCAGAAGAGGATCTGATAATTTTTCCAAAAAGTATTAGGGAATTTATGAAGGCTAGACGTGTGTTGTAGGTGGGGAGTACTATCAAGGGAGGGAGGGGGGGGGGGGGGGGGACAGTGGTTCATTGTCATTTCTAGAACACCTTCAGGACGCAGTACCGAGGGTTAGGGGGAAAAGGTCGTAGCGTCTCTCTTTGTTGGGTGGTTCTAAATCATCCCCACGTTCTTAAGAAGTCTTGCTGGGGGGGGGGCATTTTATACCTTAAAGCCTCGTAAGTCCTGCGACATATGGAATGCTATTTTGCAGAAGAGGATCTGATCATTAAAACTATTATACAATTCTTGAGGCCTACAAACTTTGTAGGGGGTCTAGGACCCCCCCCCCCCCCGTAAGAAGCTCAATTGCCATTTCCAGAAAACCCCCATGAGACGGGACTGAGAGTAAAGGGAAAATGTTCGTCGAGTCTTCCTTTGTTGGGTGTTTTTTAATCATCTTCACGTTTTTAATTTTTCTTTTGTCCGTGCACTTCTACGCTCCTGATACCAGTTACTCATCTCACATTCTGATCCAATTCATTAATTATCCAATTGCTTTGGTGATGGTTCTATCATAAATTAAAGGTGCGCATTCGTCCATAAACTTAAACCATGCGTTCCTGTGCTCCTGATATGATAAGTGCGTCGATTTTTAAAAGAAAAGTCTGTACCAAATACCACTCGAGAAGGTAAGACGGACATTTACAGGACATTATACCAGGACCGCATAATAGTGAGAAGAAATCTGTCTCTGAAAATGATTTTTAGAGAATTTCTATAATAATTGTCAAGATATCCGAAACTCAAAAATTGCAAGAATTATTTATAGACGCTCTCCTACGTATTACGTTTTCTGACTTTTTCTCAAAATGTTACAGGATGACGGAAACCAAGAAAAGTGTAAAATAATCATAACTGGCGCATTTTAAATTACTATATTGTCGTAGTATAAACTTCCCTTTTAAATATTGTCATGACAAGGTGCCAGAATTCAATAAGAAAGTGCTTTCCGATATATTTTATTCTCCTGATACTTTTCCTTGAAACCATTTCCGAGGCGTTTTACCTGGAGGAAGTGTTTTTTATTGGACTGGAATGTAAACTGTAAAAATATTTTACGAGTTTCTCTTCTGCGCGCCTAATACAAATTTTTTTTATCAGACTTTCGTCTCTGTCTATCTGTGCCCAACCGATATTAGAAGAATTTCTTTACCTGGAGAAGGTGATTTTTGTAAGACCGGCGAAAGGATTTTACGAGTCATTCTATAACTTTTTTGTAATTCTGTGCGCCTGATACAACATTTTGTCTTCGCCTATGTTGTTTTACATAAAAGTTGCTCTTTATTTAAACGCCTGATACGTTTTTGTCATCAAGAATATTTAACCTCTCTGCTAATGTTACTAACGGCTGTTAGGAGAGTGTCTTTTGTCTTACTTGGATAAAGTGCGTTTTTTACAGTTACTACACATTCTTCTATGCGCCTGATTTATAGGTAGTCATCAAGAGAGCTATTAAGGAGGTATGTTGCTTATCATCTGGAGAAGGCGCTATTTATTGGACCAGAATATAAACTGTAGAAAAATTTTACGCGTCAGCGTCAGAAGACTTTTTTCACTTTTATGCGTCTGACACCATTTTTACTCATCAAAACGCTTTCACATCTGTTCTCCTGGTACTAACAGGAAAGTACGCCTTCTGAAGAAAGTGAGAACACCTTTATACGCCTGATACAATGTTCTGTCGTCGAGAGGTTGTCAGTTCTGTACCCCTGATATTAATAGCTATTAGGAAATAATCTTTTGTGTCACCTGGACAAGGTACTCTTTTTTTGATCGGACACTACTTCCAGAAAGCTTTTACGGGTCATTTTACGTTTCCAGTTCTATGCGCCTGATGCATTTTTTGCCATCAGGAAGCTTTTATTTCTGTGCTCCTGTTACTGGCAGCAATTAGGACAGTATGTTTTGCTTCATTTGAAGAAGAACCACTTTTTGAGCGAGACTTTCGCCTCTGTACTCCTGTTACATAAGGTGAGTGCGTTTTGGATCATCTAAATAAGTTGCCCTTCGATCCCAAAATAATTAATTAAAGGAAGCGTGAGCGTTCTTGATGGAAGTACGATCGAAATTTACCTGCTATCGTTTTATAATTGTTCGCGATATTTAAATTATCTCTTGACCGACATTGTGTCTACTATCGTCATTAGTATAATCGCGTGCTCGTGTCGCTTCTAATTCAACTTGGCGTGTTTCGTTTAGTAGTGGCTATCAAATTGCAGTGAAAGTCGGTTCAGTGCTATACCTACAAAGAAACCCTCGTTTAAGAACAATATGCTATCGACAGTAAGTGACCCTTTCATTTATTTTAATTACATAGTCGATCGCAATGACCTAATAATAACTGATTCATTAACGAAACGGTAATTAAACAAAATTTTTGTCATTTCGAAATGTAATTTAGAATATCGATATTAACATCACCCATGCTTTTTGTTTTGTAGAATTTTATTTTTTAATTTCGCCGTGGAGATTTTTTTTTAGAGGCTACGTAATTGTGAATGGCAAGATAAAAGTATAATCTGCAATGTCATGGCTTGATCTTAAAACACTCCATAAAGAGTAGAACAACAAAAATCTTTGGGACCTATAGGCCATAAGACTCCTCATTAATTAAAAAAACTGCATGTTTTGCGTTCGAAATGACCTCGTCCTTTTACCTGTGAGATCTGCCCTCAAACATTAAAAAAAAAAGATTTGAAAATACGTACGTACGGAGTTGCGTCATTAAAAAATCAAAAGGTAACTGAATGGAAAACGAAAGTGCCTTTTCCCACCCATTATTACTTTCAAAACCCTATTAACATTCAACGATTACATAGTTAATTAATCTCATATAAATGGTCGAAGATCTATAAAATCAAAGGTTTTCAGGAAACTTTAATTGTATGTTCCGTCATCTACAATTACAGAAACAATCCATTCATCTATTTCATCAAACATTTTCTCACAACAACAAAAAATCGTATGGGAAAATTTCCCCAGAAACTTTCAATTCAGATGAAACCTCCAATCGAATCTTTATAAAAGTCTCTAAAAGTTTTAATGAGTCTTCCCAAGAAAGTTTGGTGAAAACCATCTGAGTCTACTATACAGGTTTTGCATTTTTTTTATTGGAACACCCTGTATATTATTAAATATCTGATTTCTTCTCTCTAGCTTAGTAAATGACTGGGTTATATTATAAGGTAGTAGCATACTATCGATGTTTAAGTACTTTCTTGGTATTTTTTTTTTTTTGAGTTGGATCCATCGTTCCCCGAAATGGGGGTTGAAATATATTATGTTATCAAAAATCTCTAAACCTTCCCCATATATCGTGATACACTTCTAGTCGCCTGATGATGGCAGTACGCCGAAACTATAGTCGCTGTTATTTTTAAAAACTTCAACGAATAAAACTATATGGGGAAGGTTTAGAGATTTTTGATAACATAATACTTTCTTGGTAGATGATGAGGAGAATCTTTACACATAAGCGTTTAAAGGCCGCCCAGCATACATTCAAAATCTCCCGACACTCCATTCTGCTGATATTTGCACTGAAAGCTTTGACATCACCAAGAGATATGTCTCGTTCTGACGTTCCACTTGCCTTTTATAAGTACCCGCTTCCGACACTTCGTTGCCAATCGCCATTTGTGAGTACCCTCTTCTTCCCACAATCCATTCTGGAGTTATAGGGGAATTTATCCGATCACGATAAGGGGTCGAGGAGGAGGACTATGTTTGGTAGAAATTAATTCCTTTCATTGAGACCTTTCATTAGAGTACCATGAAGGGTAGAACGTGTCTATACCCCCCCCCCCTACTATCACATTTTTACGTAATCAAAATCCAATGGCAACTAATTGGTCTCAGATTTTGCATGTAGATTAGTTGAGACTTTTAATTAGAATACCATGAAACATAAAATTCCCCCCCCCCCCCCCCCCCCGCCTCGTCACCTACTTATCTCGAAAGAGAGTGGCGCGGGAAAGGTATAGTTTGCACAAACCAATTTGTTTCGATGAGACCTTTCATTAGAATTCCATGAAGGGTAGAACGTGTTTTTAACCCCCCGCCCCCCACCCATTATCACATTTTTACGTATTCAAAATCCGATGACAGCTAATTGGTCTCAGATTTGCATCTCAAGAAATAATTCATGCCTCCCCCCTCTCTCTCTTTTAATGACCGGCTGGCACCTATTGCAAAAAATTGCAGGACACATTTTTTTTAATTCTTACAAAAATGCGCTAAAATTTCGAACAGCTAAAATTTTACCATCTAAGGCTTCATCTACGAATAAATTAGGCTCGCCCCCGTTCGATTTTTTGCGCATATAAAATGTTCAATTTTTTGCGTTTTGTCAGTCCGTCTGATTGACCGTCCGGACCCACTTCCGCGATTTTGGACTACTTTTAGGGGAATGGTCCTAGAATTCTGGATTTTGCAATTAGCCTATACCTTGGAAATGTATCAGACGGTCATCAAATTTCGCTGTCTTAAAGGCCCCCCCCCCCCTCCAATGAATTATTTTTTGGAATTTTGTTTTTGAAAGTAAAACCTGCATAACTTTTACGTGCGACAACTAACTGGTCTCAGATTTTGAGTAAGCACTCAAGTGGCGCCAAGTAAAATTTTTGAAAATTGAGATGCAGGGGGGGGGCTTTAAGACCTTAGATGGCCGCATTTGTGCTGTTTGAACTTGTTGTCATTTAATAGAAGGCTATACCAATGCCGAGCGAGCCGAAGGCGAATTCGGCTCGCTCGGCACGAACCGTGTCATATATTTTGGAAGTGTACATTCTGATACCTGGGCTGAATTTATTTAATTGTATAGCCTTATATTAATTGACAATAAAGTGAACAAATCTGTGCTGTTTGAATTTTTTGAAATTCAATATAAGGCAATGCCGAGCGAGCCGAAGGTGAGTTCGGCATTTGTGGACGCAGCCTTAGATGGACAAATGTGTGCTCTTTGAAGGATATACAATTGCCGAGTGAGCCGAAGGCGAGTTCGGCATAAATCGTGTCATATATTGGAAGTGTTCATTCTGATATCTTATTTTGAAAATGAGACAGGGCTGAATTTATGCCGAACTCGTCTTCAGCTCGCTCGGCCTTATTTTAAATGGCAATAAATTCAAGAAACACAAATTTGCCTATCTAAGGCTGCGTTCACGAATGCCGAGAGAGCCGATGGCGAGTTCCGCATAAATTTGGCTTTTAAAAGGACCTACCCGAAGTAGGTACATTTCTAATACATAAAACACGATTTACACCGAACTTGCATTCGGTTCGCTCGGCATTGGTATAGCCATTATAAAATGCGAAAAAAACCGCATACATTTGACTATCTAAGGCTCAAAACATCTGCGGACCTTTAAAGAGCCTCCAAATATTTTTAAAGGTCTCCTGAAAGCTTTTACAGTAAACAATTAATAGACAGTAACCCTTTAAGAGCCTTAAGGGTCGCTGTTTTTACGAACGTTTGCAAGCTGACCTTAATGAGCCTTTAAGACCCTTAAGGAACTTTAGAAATCGCCTATAGTCTCAAACATTCTCCAAGAGCCTTGAGAGCATATTTAAGCGTTTAAAGTGCTGCATATTAATAGTCGCCAATAATCTCAAGGTGTCTCCAAGAGCCTCCCAAATTGTTTTAAAGTATGGCTCTTTAAGAGCTTTAAGAACATTTAAAGGTTATAAGGACGTTATCAGCGATGCTCAATAAAAACTGGAGAAGTTATTACTCAGCTGTTGCCCAAAACCTCTATCTGCCTACTCCTAGGGTTATGGTTCTCTGGTCGTATCGAAGCGGCATGCGCGTCGGCTTATGAAGCCCGAGTTCGACGTGGGGGAAACGCCCTGTTGATTTTACGTATAATTGAGGTGTGATGCGTATCCGCTACCATATGTACCGCCACCATAGAATTTCACTTAATACTATAGAATATGTTTATTCTCCATGCAACCCCCTAATAACCACCTAAAGTTAAAATATCTTCCCGTTTTAAAATGTTGCATTTTTTAAGAAACTCTCTATCCTAGGGTTATGGTTCTCTGGTCGTACCGAAGCAGAGACTCAAATCTAACGCATGCGCTTCGGCTTATAAAGCCCGAGTTCGTCGTGGGGGATGATTGTTTCGCCCCGCGTGGGTGAAACGCCGTGTTGATTTTACGTATAATTGAAGTGTGATGCGTATCCGCTACCCTATGTACCACCACCATAGAATTACACTTAATACCATTCTTTCAATAAAAGCAGAGATTGGTAAATGCACGTATACTTGTGGATGCCTCATTAAAACAAAGTCTAACACGCTTACTACCCTTAAAACAGTAACTAATTTACAGAACTTGCGGAGTAGAAAAATAGGTACATACAATTTTTGGATAAAACTACCGTCTCACCCAGTATCTACCTATTATATAAATAACATCACCATGGGACTACGATTAATAAATATATTTATATAAATTTTCTCTTAAACACTTTTTGAAATATAAATCCTCAAAGGCAGAAATCCACAGTGATGTTGACAATAATTTTCCAGTCGTCCACCTTATACGCTATTTTGTGACTTTAACAATGAAAAATATGGCAGTGTATTTTACAAAGGCGAGACTGAAAAGTTCCTCTAACTACCATAATTCTTATTATTATTTATATGATAAGTACACAGAGTGGCAGAAATGTAGAATTTATCAAAAATTACTTCGTCAGCCAGCCAATAAGCGCCTAATAAAAAAATAGAATTCTTGACTGTCCTAAATTGAGACTAGCGCCGACGTACGTTAAGAGGTGCGCGAGGCGTGGAAAATTCCGCCTCAAAATCAGAAATTTCGGTTTGAATCCCAAAATTTCGGTTCTCGACCGGAAGAATTTCGGTTTAAACTAGGAAATTCCGGTTCAAAATAGGAAATTCCGGAAAAAACCTAATGGAAACTTAAGAAGACACGAAGGCACACGAGAATAACCAGAGAGGATCTTACGAAACACAGATGTAGTTGGAAGAAGGGGAAACCTGAAGAGAAATTGAGAAGCACTTGAATAAAATTCGAGGGGAACTTGCGAACTTAAGTGAACATGGAGATTCTGAGAAGAATAGAAATTCCTGAAAAGGAAATTGGAGAAAATTGGTGATGAGAACATCGAGAAAAACTTGTGAACAACTTTACTCGAGAAGACTTGATGACCTTATTGAGAGAAACTTAAGAGGAGTTGGTGTGAAATTGAATTGAGAGAATTTTTCTAGAAAATTCGGAGCGGAGAATTTCAGGAATTTTCTGAAGAGAGTTCAGACTTGTAGGATGAGAAGAACTTATAAGGGAATTACAAAACGAATATGAGGGCACCTGACAAATTGAGGACTTCCAAAGAGAACATGCGTTCAATTAATATTTTATTAGGTAACAATTCCGGACAGACAGCCAGAAAATATGAGCCTTGCTTGTTGTAATTATTTATTGACGTAGTAAAAACGAAATCTTTAACTTTTGCAATGAAAAACAATTCGGGAAATTGGGATTTGTTTGTTTTGATCATTTTCGTGCAGATTTCCATGTGGTCATTGCGGTCGCACCGCGTATTTCCCCAACAAACGAAAACAAAAACTAACTTATTACCCAAAAACAACTCGTATCACTTTGTTAACCAGTTTCGGCTATTGTTTTTTCGAAGCAAACCTCAAGAGTGGGTTTTCCCACCAGAACGAAAAAGTGAAAGTTGAACGTGGTCACGTGGTCGTCATTGAACGCTGCCTTTCGTAGTTGTCAGTCGCCCTTTGAACGTTTGAGGTTACGTTCCGTTCACTTTAATTGACATTAATTAACCTGTTGACCTAATTGAAAATTAAAGTGTCGTAATCGCGAGAATTATTTCTAGAGCAATCGCGCCAAGAGTCTTCTGCTGCCACGTCTTCGCGAGGTACAAAGTGAGTATTGCGAAAGGTCTTCGGGCCGCTCCTTTAATCTGTCATCTCACCCCGAAGGTTGTGCAAATTTGATTAACGGCAAGATGCCCTGCCCGTTTTTGGCGAAGCTCAGCTCGAACTACGTGCACAATTATGCACCGGAATTGGTGAAGATGTACGGGAAGCATTGCCCCGTCATGTCGCGGACGTTGAGCAGCTGGCTCGGGTCGGAAACGACCCCGAAATCAGGTAAATACGGTCTTTGTACGAATTACACGGGTTAGGAGAGCGATTGCGTAATCTCGTTCTTATATAATGAGTACGTGAAGCAAGGGCAAATGTTAATCTAACATTTAAGGAATTTATCTGACAAAATACAGGGTGCTCATTTTAAGTTTGCCCAATTCTTTTGCAGAACCGATTAGCGAAAGCAAACAAGAAACCAAGTGTCCATTTTTGTCCGAGGTGAAAGTAGCAAAAGTTGACCAAGATGAAACGATCGAAGTAACTAACCAAACTTCAACAAAAGGTAGGTTATGTTGACAGCTGTCATTTTTAAACACTTTGTTGATCCTATTTCCAAGACCTCCATTAAATCTTTGCGAGGCATACCCAATCGGTGATTACTCGCTTTTAATTAAACATTTTTGACATTTGACAGCTCTCAAAAGCGTGTAGTTATTATTTTTTATAGCTATCTTCTTGGTGGGATTTTAGGTACTTTAATCCAGGCAGTCTTGTGCCGGTAAGTGCAGTAAGAAGTTGACTGTGTCACTTGAACAATTATTCGCCCCTTAAATTTGACACTTGACAGCTGTCAAAAATGTATAGTATTTGTTATATCTTCTTGTTGGGATTTTCAGTAGGTACTTACATTGATTCTTCAAAGTTACATGTTGGTAGGTGCAATATGAAGTTGAATATGTCACTTGAACAATTGTTTGCCTCTTAAATTTGACACTTGACAGCTGTCAAAAATGTATACTATCTTTTATAGTACTTCCTTGATGGGATTTTCAATACTTACATTAAATCTTGGAAGTCTTGTGTTGGTATGTGCACCAAGAAGTTGAATTCGTCACACGAACAATTTGTGTTTGTTCCTTAAATTTAACGCAACTGTCAAAAATGTATAGTATTTGTTAATCTTCTTGTTGGGATTTTGAGTACTTAATTGATTCTTCGAAGTCACATGTTGGTAGGTGCAATAAGAAGTTGAATATGTCACTCGAACAATTGTTTTCCTCTTAAATTGGCACTTGACAGCTGTCAAAAGTGTATACTATCTTTTATAGTACTTTCTTGATGGGATTTTCAATACTTACATTAAATCTTGGAAGTCTTGTGTTGTATGTGCACCAAGAAATTGAATGCGTCACACGAACAATTTCTGTTTGTTCCTTAAATTTAACACTTGACAGCTGTCGAAAATGTATAGTATTTGTCATATCTTCTTGTTGAGATTTTCAGTCCTTACATTGATTCTTCATAGTCACAGTAGGTGCAATAAGAAGTTGAGTCAGTTGAACAATTGTTTTCCTCTTAAATTTGACACTTGACAGCTGTCAAAAATCTTTTTTATAGTACTTTCTTGGTGGGATTTTCAATACTTGCATTAAATCTTGTAAGTCTTGTGTTGGTATGTGCACCAAGAAGTTGAATGCGTCACACGAACAATTTCTGTTTGTTCCTTAAATTTAACACTTGACAGCTGTCGAAAATGTATAGTATTTGTCATATCTTCTTGTTGAGATTTTCAGTCCTTACATTGATTCTTCATAGTCACAGTAGGTGCAATAAGAAGTTGAGTCAGTTGAACAATTGTTTTCCTCTTAAATTTGACACTTGACAGCTGTCAAAAATCTTTTTTATAGTACTTTCTTGGTGGGATTTTCAATACTTGCATTAAATCTTGTAAGTCTTGTGTTGGTATGTGCACCAAGAAGTTGAATGCGTCACACGAACAATTTCTGTTTGTTCCTTAAATTTAACACTTGACAGCTGTCGAAAATGTATAGTATTTGTCATATCTTCTTGTTGAGATTTTCAGTACTTCATTGATTCTTCAAGTCACAGTAGGTGCAATAAGAAGTTGAGTCAGTTGAACAATCCTCTTAAATTTGACACTTGACAGCTGTCAAAAATATAGTAGATTTTCAATACTTGAATAAATGTTGAATCACACGCCTGTTTGCCTCTTAAATTTTTGACACTTGACAGCTGTCAAAAATGTATACTATCTTTTGTAGTACTTTCTTGATGGGATTTTCAATACTTAAATTAAATCTTGGAAGTCTTGTGTTGGTATGTGCACCAAGAAGTTGAATGCGTCACACGAATAATTTCTGTTTGTTCCTTAAATTTAACACTTGACAGCTGTCAAAAATGTATAGTATTTGTTATATCTTCTTGTTGGGATTTTCAGTACTTAATTGATTCTTCAAAGTCACATGTTGGTAGGTGCAATAAGAAGTTGAATATGTCACTTGAACAATTGTTTATCTCTTAAATTTGACACTTGACAGCTGTCAAAAATGTATACTATCTTTTATAGTACTTTCTTGATGGGATTTTCAATACTTACATTAAATCTTGGAAGTCTTGTGTTGGTATGTGCACCAAGAAGTTGAATGCGTCACATGAACAAAGTCTGTTTGTTCCTTAAATGTCAGACACTTGACAGCTGTCAAAAATGTGTACCATTTTTTATATCTTCTTGATGAAATTTTCGGTGCTTACATTGAATCTTCAGTCTTATGTTGGTAGGTGCAATAAGAAATTGAATGTCACTTGAACAATTGTTCTCTCCTTAAATTTGACACTTGACAACTGTCAAAAATTGACAATATTTTATATTATCTTGATGGGATTTTCGGTAGGTACTTGCATTGAATCTGAATCACTTCGCCCCTTAAATATGCAATTGACACTTGACAGCAAGTTTATAGTTTTTTTCTGTACAAATTTGTTGAAATAGTGTCTCTACTATTTTGACAGCAATCTATTTCTCTAATAATGACATATTCATTACTTCCATTTAATACTGGAAGTATTGTATGGGTTTCCGTCACTTAAAAAAATTGTTGACACTTGACAGTTGTCACCCTGACATTTTTCTAATGCCTGCTTGGCGGCATTTTTAGCCTCCATTAAATGTTGGAAGTACTGTATTGATCTTCAATTGTTGTTTAATTAAGTCTTTTATTTAAATAATGGATGTGGTCTTTAAAAAACCTTGACACTTGACAGGTGTCTAAATTAGATTTTTTTAATGTTTTCTTAGCGCCATCTTTAGTCTCCCTTAAATATTGGAAGAATGGTACTTGTCTTCGCTATTAAATTGTCTAATAAAGTTGTATATTTCAATAACGAGTCCGATCTTTAACAAATCTTGACACTTGACAGGTGTCACAATTACATTTTTTAATATCCATTGAATGTTGAAATAATTGGATTGATATTAGCAATTGTTGTTACTTACTAATTGATTGTTTTATTCAAATTTGACAATTGACAGCTGTCAAAAGTTGACAATATTTTCAAAAATATTTCGTTGAAGACATACCTACAGTGAATCTTGGTTTGGTATATACAATGTAAAATGAAATGTGTTGTCATTTGAACAATGATTCCTCTCCCTTGAACAAACATTTTGACATTTGACACCTATCAAAAATTGCAGTTGTTTAGAAAATATTTCCTTGGTAACATTTTCACTACCTACAGTGAATCTTTGACATTTCCTTTCTTTAGTAACAATTGACAGATGATGACATTTTTTGCTGTCATTTGTTATTTTGTAATTGACATTTGCAGATATTGATTGTAAGTCATTTCATTTGCCACAGTGTCAATTGACATCTGTGAGTTCACAGCCACTATCCTTCCATTGACACTTAGTTGTTAATTAAAACTTCATATTTTGTCAGTTGTCATTTTGGCACTTATGTCAATTGGCACTCTGCTTGTTATTTGAGTAAGTCGCAGGACTTTTTCATTTCATACGATTTTGTACCTTTCATTTCCTACGGTGTCAACTGACATTCTGTGAGCTGACAGCTACTGTCTTTCCATTGACACTGACCAGTTTTTAATTAAATTATTGACATTTATTACCATTTTGCCACTTGTCAATTGGCGCTCTATATTTATTTTGTTATTATTGAGTAAGTCTCAATGGACAACTGCTGTTTGTTAGTTAAAATAAGGAAGCACATTGAAAACTTTCAAGCGGCATTTGTCAGTTCACATTTACCATCTGTCAATTCACCTATCTTTCTATCATTGACAATTAGCATTTATCAATTGACACTCATTGGCATTTAATCGCAGAATTTAGTTACATTTTACTGATGGCGAGAATTGTCACTTAGTTATCAGTCGATAACTCTCTCAGTTGACACTACCTGTCAAATTGACATGTGTCAATTTTGGTTTTAAAAAGTGTGGGAAAGGTAACGTTTAGAATTATTACCCCACATACCGTGCGGACGGTTAATTCAAGGAAATCGATATTTGTCGATGGCCTAGTGTCATTTGACAGATGACTAAGAGTATCCTTTTTTTAAGGAACTTCAATTGTCAAAATTGACACTTAGTCTCGATCATTTGATAATTATTCACGATCCTCGAGATCGTTGAGAAATTTGTATTGTCTGTCTGTCCGTGTGCACGATAACTTTGTTTAGAAACGTCCGACCGCTTTGAAAATTGACATAGGATATAAATGTAATGGATGCGTGAAGATCTCGAGGATCATTCGGTATTCATTTGTGTCAATTGACACTCAATGCCATTTGACAGTTAATATTTCTAAATTGACACTGACAGGAAATACCCTTCCTCTTTTAGGCTCGTTTTCCTACGACCAGTTTTTCCACGATCAAATAATGCGCAAGAAGAAGGATCACTCCTATCGAATATTTCGAAAGGTCAATCGTCTGGCGGGTCCCGGCCAGTTTCCGAACGCGATGGAGTACTCGTCCGGCGAGAAGCCGATAACCGTCTGGTGTTCGAACGACTACCTCGGCATGTCCTGTCATCCCGAAGTGAAGACCGCCGTTCGGTAAATTTGCTCTCGAAACTGTTAAGGGGCGATTGTGCTAACCGTTCACTCTGCACTTAGCGAGGCGCTGGACAAGTTCGGCGCCGGAGCGGGCGGTACGAGAAACATCTCCGGCAACTCGATGCTGCACGAAAGCCTGGAGGAGCGACTGGCGAAGCTGCACCAGAAGGAGGCGGCGCTGCTGTTCACCTCGTGCTTCGTCGCGAACGACTCGACGCTCTTCACGCTGGCGAAGTCTCTGCCGGGTTGCCATATTTTTTCGGATGCCGGCAACCACGCCTCCATGATACAGGGGATACGAAACAGCGGGGTGCCGAAACATATTTTTAGGCATAACGATCCGAGGCATTTGGAGCAGCTGCTGATGACCGTCGATCGCGATGTGCCCAAAATTGTCGCGTTTGAAACTGTACATTCCATGACCGGTGCCGTTTGCCCATTGGAGGAGCTGTGCGATGTCGCGCATGACTACGGAGCGCTCACTTTTGTCGATGAGGTGCACGCAGTGGGGTTGTATGGTGATCACGGTGCGGGGATCGGGGAACGCGACGGGCAGCTGAGCAAGATGGATATGATCTCGGGCACTTTGGGGAAGGCGTTCGGCAACGTTGGAGGCTACATTGCTGCCAATGCCATTCTGATCGACATGATCCGCTCGTACGCCGCCGGTTTTATATTTACAACTTCACTGCCGCCGACCGTTCTATCGGGTGCTCTCAAAGCAATTAACATCCTCGCCTCGGATGAAGGTCGCGAGTTACGTAGGCGTCACCAGGAGAACGTGAAGTACCTACGCAACTCGCTTCTGAGCCGTGGATTCCCCGTGGAACACACGCCTAGTCACATAATTCCGATCAAAGTCGCCGATCCCTTCCAGTGCACAATGATCTCCGACCGCCTCCTCAGAAAGGGCCACTACGTGCAGGCGATCAACTATCCGACCGTCGCGCGCGGGGAGGAAAAGCTGAGGTTAGCGCCGACGCCGCATCACACCGAAGCTCTCATAAACGTCTTGGTCGACGACATGGAAGTCGTTTGGAGGGAACTGGAGCTGCCACTGACCGGCCCGCAGTGTTCCAAGGTAACTTTGTCGGTTAACCCCTTCGCTCTAATCTCTAATTTCAGGAGTGCGCCTTTTGCCGCAAACCCATCATGTTTGACTACTTCGAAGATCGCAACACGCGAAGCGGTTGTTCCAAGGAGCTCTCTTGCGACATTCCAAATTGTCCTCAAATGATTGCGACATGTTAAACGAAAAGTATCCTCATTTTACCAGTTATAGTTTTTATTGTAATTAATAATTTTATCTGGATCTGTTGTTACTAAAATGGGAAATATATGGTGTAGTGTCTCCTTTTTTTTAGCAAAACCGACGGTTCGATTAAAAATCAATACGCGCGTAGAGCTCGACCTCGACTTCTCGTTGAAGAATGCCTGTCCCCCACCAGATTTTTACTTGAATACCTCGGCGAGACCCAATGCAAATTTTTAAGGGAGATCATGGCAACACTGTAACGTTTACACTTGTTTCTTATCTTAAGACAATGTCAATCTCCACTAAAAGTTTGTTCCTTTTCCTAAAGAAGCGGTACACGTATAAAATTTCCCATACCAGTAATTTCGTAAATTTAACGATAAAAGGGGCCACCTGTTACTACTATTATATTATCATTGAAAATTTCACTTCGTCAACGCTGTTAGAACAGACTGAATCGCAATTCGATTTGCTTATACAGCAAACACGCAGCTTTCTAGAAAGTTCTCGAACGCTCCCAGGTGTTCTAGAATGTTCTCGAACAAACACGTCATATTTCCCGAAAAGATGGCTTCACATTTGCTCTCGTTCTTTATCGCCTCGATGCCTATCGGGATTTGGGGAATGTTTATTTTTCAGTCGCTCCTAGACAACTCGAATTTCTGTTTGCTAACGCTAACGTCATGCTTCAAATTGAAGAACATCCTGTGCTGAGCAGGTGGTGCCGAGCGATCCGAAAGCGAGTTCGGCGTAAATAATGGCCTGTTTCATCAATTTGAAGCACGGATTGAGCCGAACTCGCCTTCTGAAGGGGGTATCTTAACGTCGCCGGCCGAATTCGGTGAGTGGTAGATGGAGCTTGTCTAGCTGGGGTATTAGTGGCGCGGCGGTGGGAACCCGCGTTGGACGTTTTTCGGAGTGATAGTGGCGTGGTCTCTGGGAGTGATCGTTTTCCTAGACCAATGTATCGTGCGACGTGGGGTCGTCCCATAGACCGTAGTCCAATTTCTTTAGCCAATCTTGGCGGAGGACTTTTTAGTGCTTACTCAATATTCTTAGTTGCATTTGATGATTGAATTTCCAGGAGAATATTCTCATAAGCTGCGAGTGATTTTCACGCATTCCTACAGACTCCCGCCGGAGAACAAGAGATAAATTAACTCTGAGAGGTTCCATCCTGTATATACAACTTACGACGATACATACATTTTTGAGAGTTGGCAACCATGCAATTTCTAGGTGGGAAAAAGTTGGCTGCGCCATCTAAAAAGCAGGGATGGGGGTTCCGTTTGGCATCTTGTCTTGAATGGCGGTCGTGAACGCGTCGCTCCATAGATTTTTGTGTTTCAATCTTCGCTTTTGAAATTTACTTGCTTGCTTTAACCGCAATGCACAATGACATGTTTAATACCGTTATCCTATTGTTTGTAATTGTTTACGTTTTTGGTGTAATGCTTGCTTAATTTATGTTTATTGATGTTGATTACTTGGTCTTGTCCGAGAAGTAACATGCATATAAGTCTTAAGTTTGATGTATGTACTGACTTGTTGTTTGTAACTAACAATTTTCTCCATCACATGTTGGTAGGTGCAATAAGAAGTTGAATATGTCACTTGAACAATTGTTTTCCTCTTAAATTGGACACTTGACAGCTGTCAAAAGTGTATACTATCTTTTATAGTACTTTCTTGGTGAGATTTTCAATACTTACATTAAATCTTGGAAGTCTTGTGTTGGTATGTGCACCAAGAAGTCGAATGCATCACATGAACTATTTCTGTTTGTTACTTAAATTTAACATTTGACAGCTGTCAAAAATGTATAGTATTTGTTATATCTTCTTGTTGGGATTTTCAGTACTTAATTGATTCTTCAAAGTCACATGTTGGTAGGTGCAATAAGAACTTGAATATGTCACTTGAACAATTGTTTGCCTCTTAAATTTGACACTTGACAGCTGTCAAAAATGTGTACTATCTTTTATAGTACTTTCTTGATGGGATTTTCAATACTTACATTAAATCTTGGAAGTCTTGTGTTGATATGTGCACCAAGAAGTTGAATGTGTCACATGAACACTTTTCTGTTAGTTCCTTAAATGTCAGACACTTGACAGCTGTCAAAAATGTGTACCATTTGTTATATCTTCTTGATGTAATTTTCGGTGCTTACATTGAATCATCAGTCTTATGTTGGTAGGTGCAATAAGAGATTGAATGTCACTTGAACAATTGTTCTCCCCTTAAATTTGACACTTGAGAACTCTCAAAAATTGACACTATTGTATAGTATCTTCTTGACTGGATTTTCGGTATAGGTACTTGCATTGAATCTGCAGTCTTGTGTTGGTAGGTGCAATAAAAGCTGAATGACGCACGTCGACCCCTAATAATGCAATTGACGCTTGACAGAAAGTTTATACTGTTTTTTATAGTATGTACAAATTTGGTATTTGAAATGGTGTCTCTACTATTTTGACGGCAATCTATTTCTCTAAAAACCTTAATGACGTATTCATTACTTACATTTAATACTGGAAGTATTGTAAGCTCGATTATATTGTTTTTGCCACTTCAAAAAAATTTTGACACTCGACAGTTGTCACACTGACATTTTTCTAATGCCTCCTTAGCGGCATTTTCAACCTCCATTAAATGTTGAAAGTATTGTATTGATCTTCAATTGTTGTTTAATTGAGTCTTTTATTTAAATAATGGATGTGGTCTTTAAAAAACCTTGACACTTGACAGGTGTCTAAATTGGATTTTTTTAAATATTTTCTTGGCGCCATCTTTAGTCTCCCTTAAATGTTGGAAGAATGGTACTGGTCTTCGCAATTCAATTGGACCATAGTCCAATTTCTTTAGCCAATCTTGGCGGAGGACTTTTTAGTGCTTACTCAATATTCTTAGTTGCATTTGATTGAAATTCCAGGAGAATATTCTGCATAAGCCGCATTCCTACAGACTCCCGCCGGAGAACAAGAGATAAATTAACTCTGAGAGGTTCCACTCTGTACATAGAACTTACGACGATACATACATTTTTGCAATTTCTAGATGGGAAAAGCTGCCGGCGCCATCTAAAAAGCACGGATGGGGGTTACGTTTGGCATCTTGTCTTGAATGGCGGTCGTGAACGCGTCGCTCCATAGATTTTTGTGTTTCAATCTTCGCTTTTGAAATTTACTTGCTTTAACCGCAATGCAGAATGGCATATGTTAAATACCGTTATGCTATTGTTTGTAATTGTTTACGTTTTTGGTGTAATGCTTGCTTAATTTATGTTTATTGATGTTGATTACTTGGTCTTGTCCCTGAAGTAACATGCATATAAGTCTAAGTTTGATGTATGTACTGATTTGTTGTTTGTAACTAACAATTTTCTCCGTGAATGAAGCAGTCACGGGGGTGGTAAAAACTGTAGTCAAAATTGAGCTGCGACACCTAATTCCGTGATTGTCTTCGACATTAAACTGTTGTTAAACTCCGAACGAGGGGCGGCGCTACCTATTTTGCGGGGGCGAGATTACGCTAATCAAATCCCTTCAGTTTAGAATCTATGTGCGATAATTAAATGATTAAATGGCGATTCATTAATTTCCACGTATCTTGTGTTTAGTTAATTTGCCTACAAAAACATGTAATTTTCCATCTTGCTTTTTCTGAGAATCTTGGTACCTTCTTACCTGACCCATAATTCCAAAAACTTGTTTTTAACCTATATATTACCTCTTGAAGTTTACCTGCTACCTTTTTTTGATGTTATAATTTTATGTTATGCATTCACATCATTACAAACAATTAATTTTACTACACAATTTAATATTAATTTTACGGCTGGTTTTTTTATTGGTAGGTAAGTTATTTTTTTCCAGCATATTTCTATTTTTATTCGGTGAAGTATGATTTTCAAAGTTTATTTTTCCAATGTAATTTATTTCGACTTAAATTTCCGAGCTTTCACAATCTTAATAATTGCGATCATTATTAAACAAACTTTTCACAATTTGAGTGTTTTGAGTATGTTTGTGTGGATGAATGTGGTTTAACCATTTGCCTTACAGGATTGTTTCGTACCCTTAAGATACCGGGTGAATATTCCAAAACTGATCATAGGCAATTAATGTGGGAAAAAGGTTTTTTGCAGATTGTTGCTATCCATGTTAACTTTTCTCCTCTAATAATATGCGAATTAGTTCATTTTCAGTTGTATTTCTCATCATTAATGCATATGCAATTTTAGAAGCATTGAAGGTAAATTATTGTAGTCCCAGTTTTTAAAAGTACGTCGAGTACGGCCCTGACTTACTATGTCGCCATCTACTGGCAGCCATCTTGTTTGACAATTTGAAAATCGTCGAATTTCTAAAAGAAAGCAACTCGAAAAATGGGCCCCCCAAACGAAGCAAACGTGTCCAATTTATCCGCTGGGGAAAGAAAGCAGATCGAATTTTATGAAAAATTACATAACGACAGCCTTAGCGCCTCTGAAGAACTACGGAAGTTATACTACAACATCCTGCTCTCGCACTTCCAGTGTACAAGTCTCTGGCAACGTTTGGTGAACTGCAGAGATAACGTCGGATTAACGAAGGCGCTGGTGGAGAAAGATAGCGAAATGTCAGCAGCCGATCTCCTCACTTCATATTCTCAGTAAGCTAATTCTGCGTTATTAAAGAACTTTGACAAAATCTGCCTTTCATTTCAAAAACAGTGATAGATAAGACTTTATTGCACCAGATACAACTCGCATTAAAATACATAAAACGGTTACAGTAGTCTAGAATATTGTGCTTGATATCGTGGTAATAACTCAGTTCCGTTACGGCTTCTACAATAATTGACTCATAACATGCATGTACACATTTAGCACATGCCGATTGATAACTACAGGATGCACGTCATGCAACGTTAGATTAACCAATTTAAAAAAGGTGACGAAAATGTGCGAAATACTCACTCCGCCAAGTACCTGCAAATACAACTTACATCCCCTCTGCCTTGGGTGCAGATTGTGAAAACTACAAGAAACGGTTTGTACTCTTCTTCGTTAATCTAAATAGGTAAAACATGCAGACTTCAAACACATCACAGACTAATTTATGTGTCAAAAATTTAGAATATATCCCTATACAAATATTGCATATTATTATTAATACCTCCGCTAGCTACACTTATAAAATTGACACATAGGAATCGGTATTGACCATTAAATAAAACGAAAGCATTCACAATTAAGTAAAATATTCCTATAGAAAATAGTGCCACAGCTGCACTAAAAATGGCAATATAATCTTGTTATAGGAAGGTTTTCTTGCCATTTCTAAAGCGAAGTAGCGTCTCTTTTAAACAACGGCTATTTCGAATTAGGTTTGCCAGGTGATGCGTCGGTTACAATGACTTTAGGCACACCCGGATAATTTCTAGGCACATTCACTGATATTTTCTCTTTCAAGAAGTTGTACTTGCTTTGCAAAAGCTGAAGCTGCGATTGCAACGAGTTACTTAACTGTTTTTGTAGATCTTGCACCTCGTGGATGTCCTTGCGCAGATTCTGGTAGTCGTTCTTGACGTCCGTCACCGATTTGAGTAGGTTGTTGACGGCGACCTCCGTACCGTCGTCGGCGAAAATGTCGCGCTCGACGTTCACCACTTTCACCGCTAAGCTGTCGAGCCTCTCGTCGGCCTTTTGCATCTGCGTTTACATTCGTTAAAAGTAGGTGCGAGAAAAGGGAAATTCTCTACCTGTTTTTCAATGTTGTCGACAGCTTCCTCCATGTTTCGGATACCTAAGGGTGCTAATTTCCAGCGGCTCTTTAGTCCATAACGATTTTGTGCATTTCTTATCGATAATTCAAAACAAATTATAGGGTAAATTACATTATTTATTTATAAAATTGATATTTGTTATTATTGGACCGGTAAAGTACGGGGAGATTAGACACAATCGTGGTTAGTTACATTTCTGCCAACTCTAGCAGGTTGACCAACCAAAAACAGTGTTCGCTTAAATTATACAAAGTAGGTCGTATTTATAGCATGTTTAGGTAAGAAAATAGAAAATACATGCACTGAGGAATATGTAAAATATGAAATAGTTGTATGTTTAACTAACCGTTTATTCCGTGGAGGAAATACTGTGATAATCCACCTTTATTGTTGGGCAAGACACCTTTAGATCTGAAACAAAATATGATATACCTACCTATGTTTTGTATGCATATATCTCAATTACTCGTACAGGTATTTTGAGGGGTTTTTGTACTGAATTGAGTTATCAGGTTTTCCACTGCTTTTATGATGTCTTGTATATTTTGTTTTTATGAACTTGTTTAATAGCATTTGATTTGATTATCTGATTTTTATCATACAATTTGAGATGTTTTATTTATGTGCATTTTCTCTTGCATTTCATTGCTGCAGGTGATTTATTTCATGTATTTGTGCCGGGGTTTTTGTCCCGTAGAAGGTTTCCCTGGTATGGTCTTGTGTGCGTAATATATTTATTTGTTCTTGTAATTTAGCTTACGCACAAAAGTTCTGTCTTTTATTTAATTCCCTTCCCGATTATGTCTCACGTCCTAACACATACAAGAACCGATTACACAACGTAGGAGTTCATTCGTGCAACCCATATCGACTTGAAAGGTAGGTGCCTTTGCTCGTAGTTTTTTCCCAGAGTTGCCATCGATAATTATAGGGCAAGTCAACGTTTTCAGTGTTGGCTTGATAGACCCCTAGGTTCATTAGAATACCTCATACAGTTCCGATTTTTCGCTGTATATATTGCTTTCTCCTTCTCGTGACTTGTGCACAGGAGAACCTCCGCAGAAATGACCGTAATAAGCATATATACATATGCAGCCTAAGGCCCTGTCAGCAAATAGAGGTTCCGATCGGCTACGGCGGCGCTTGATTGCAGGCGAACTTTAGATAAATTATGCGCCAGCACACTGCAGAAAAGGGTCGGGCAACGAACGGGCGGACGAGCTAGCTCGGGAAGAAGCCAGATGAGCCTGCAGTGAGGTCTTCGTCACTCTAGGAATTGCTCCCCCCGTTGTTAGGGTTAGAATTAAAGACTGGGTGACCAGGACCGGAGTCGCAGACAGTTCAGGGCATTTTTCACAGGGCCCCTTGGCCAAGCTGAATCTTCTAAGCTTTTAAAACTGAATAGAAGCCAGATTAGGAAGATCACCGGCACAAGATATTGGGCTCTCCTACAATAGTATACTATTGTAGGAGAGCTCACGTGCAGGTTCTGTGGCGGGGTAGATGAAACTACGGAGATGTGGTCTGTCACTAGGGATTGCGGGATCCCGAAATACCGGGACCCCGCTCCATGTGCGGGATTAATCTCGCAAAAAAGGGCTGTAACTTTTGAACTAGTAGCCCAATCTTGGAACTGTTTGAAATTATGGATTCTACAGGTCACATTCTATAAGAAATTTTTTTCCGGGTCGACCTGGAACAATTTTTTTTGAGGGCCTCAAAAAATGGCAGTGTATGACCTTCCTTTTTTACAAAAAATCGACTGCACCAAAATTTCTCGGGAAAACACTTTTTCTTATTAAATTTGGTGCGTAGAATCCAAAACAATTCGTACTTTTTCGATCAGACTTCTCAATCAAAAGTTATGGACTAGAAACCAATTTCGAAAGAAAATTCAAAGGGCTGTAACTTTTGAACTAGTAGCCCAATCTTGGAACTGTTTGAAATTATGGATTCTACAGACCACATTCTATAAGAAAATTTTTTTCCGGGTCGATCTGAGACAATTTTTTTTCGGGCCCCAAAAAAGGCAGTGTATAACCTTCCTTTTTTACCAAAAATCGACTACACCAAAATTTCTCGGGAAAACACTTTTTCTTATTAATTTTGGTGCGTAGAATCCAAAACAATTCGTACTTTTTCGATCGGACTTCTCAATCAAAGGTTATAGACTAGAAACCAATTTCGAAAAAAAATTCAAAGGGCTGTAACTTTTGAACTAGTAGCCCAATCTTGGAACTGTTTAAAATTATGGATTCTACAGGTCACATTCTATAAGAAAAATTTTTTTCCGGGTCGATCTGGAACAATTTTCTTTGAGGGCCCCAAAAAAAGGCAGTGTATAACCTTATAACCTTCCTTTTTTACCAAAAATCGACTGCACCAAAATTTCTCGGGAAAACACTCAAAAGTTATAGACTAGAAACCAATTTCGAAAGAAAATTCAAAGGGCTGTAACTTTTGAACTAGTAACCCAATCTAGGGACTGTTTGAAATTATGGATTCTACAGGTCAGATTCTATAAGAAAAATCTTTTTCCGGGTCGATCTGAGACAATTTTTTTTGAGGGCCTCAAAAAAAGGCAGTGTATAACCTTCTGTTTTACCAAAAATCGACTGCACAAAAATTTCTCGAGAAAACACTTTTTCTTATTAATTTTGGTGCGTAGAATCCAAAACAATTCATATTTTTTCGATCAGATTTCTCAATAAAAAGTTATAGACTAGAAACTAGGGAATGCAATACCGGGATCCCGCAGCATTTTTGCGAGATTAATCCCGCACATTAATTGAGCGGGATCCCGCGGGATTTGCGAGGCTGAGGAATTTGTCGACCTAGGGGACGACTCTTTTTACTTTGTTAATAAAACTGATAACGGCGAATCATTTTTTAAATAATTGTTAAACTTTTTTCGTTAAAAATATACTATGATTTTTGAGGCACTTTAGAAGACTTTTTGTGCTTTACAGGTAGCGGTATGTTGCCTAACCATAAGGGTGAATTATCACAATACATCAAACGAATCGGTATAATTTCCACATATTAAAATAATAATTTATATGCTATTATTTATATACTATTACTTTTCGCACATGACTAAGTAATCAACACATAAACAAAAATTAAGCAAACATTACACCAAAAACGTAAACGATTACAAACAAAAGGATAACGGTATTAAACATGTCATTCTCCATTGCGGTTAAATCAAGTAAATTTCAAAAAAAAAAATTGAAACAAACAAAAAATATAAAATGCGGCATACAAATCACAAATACGATATAAAGAAATGCAAAAATTACTACCTGCAGTAAATAACACAAAATAACAACAAACATTTATGGAGCGACGCGTTCACGACTGCCAGTCAAGACAAGATCCCAAACTTGACCCACGTTAGTGCTTTCCAGATGGCGCAAATCGTTTTCCCTTTGACCTGTTAACCCCTCCTAAAAATTGCGTGGTTGCCAACTCTCAAAAATGTGTGCATCGTCGTATATACAGGGTGGAACCTCTCAAACTGTTACCGGCAATATTAAAATTAATTAATGGGGCAGTCAATATCTTTGTTTTAAGAAGTTATTTTGGTTGCATAAAATTAGGCGTCTTTCAGAAGATATTGATATTTTAAAGTAGACATGGGAAAATACAGTACACATAATTTCTTGTCTACTTCTTAGTAGCATATAACGGAAGCTCGAAACAATTGATTTATAACTTTCTGAACAATAAGTCATTCCATAGCTGGGTGTCAAGACAGAAAAAGGATGAAATAATAACACGCTAGCTTGTATATAATATATTAAGAGAATATTAAATGTATATAGTACGGAAAGAATCTTTTAGTGTACTCTTCTCCAAGATTTAAATGATAAAATATATGTAATGTATAAACATACAATATACAAATTAAAAATTATGGACGTCTCGAAGCGGCCACGAATATCCTTTAAATTCTTGAAACCTAACGTACTCCGTAAAGGTGACAAAATTAAACAAGCCTCCGGGTTAACAATTTGTGCAAAAAATTACCTATCGGTCATCCACAACCAAATACCCACGCGATTCTGAAACTTAATTCTTCCAAATTGCTGACCGGTAGAAGGCAGCTTTTTTTTTTTATTTTTCTATCGACTAAATTAGTCATCCTTTTAGAAGAACCAAATCCATCACCGCGCGCCTTTCCCCCTAACATACCTCTACATATTAACGATTAAACACTACGAGTAAGAAAAGACCCCCAAACATAATCGACCTCCTTTGATTACGAGGAATTGTTACAACGTTCCCATTTTATTTAAGAATTTGAAGGAATAACAAGGTAAACATTTACATAATTTTTAGCACTATATTTAAACTTCTTATGTACAAATGAACGAAAACGTATTTTGACCATATAATCCCCATGCCGCTCTCTCTCTCCCCCGCTCTAAAATTAAATAAAGGTCGACTCTCTCGCAACCTAATTTATGTACAAACATGATCACCTATATCACATAAAGAGTCCCGATGATGGCAGTTGCGTTTATCACTGAAAATGGCGAAAATTAACCCGAATGTTATATGGTCAAGAGCGTTCGTTGCGCAAAAAGAAAAACACGATGAGTGGGTGAACAGAGAGAAAAAATTATATTTATTCCAATTATAAAACTATCGATTTCGTTACATTTCCTAAGCGATCTCTGCGATTGTTAGAAAATGAGTTTGGACGATTTAAAATTAAATCAATCAGGGAGGAAGCTGTGCTCTAAGTTAATTAAACCGAATTTGGAATACTGAGGGAATGACTTTTTGTGTTAAAAATTTAGCCGCTTTTGAATAGCAATATTGCCACCTGTCCCAGGTAGAAGTATATGAAGTGGCGCGTTTCGTGGGTGACGTACGATCCGAAGTTGCGACCTACGATGCAGTGCCATGTCGGGTTGTATTTCTTGTCGAATTCCTTTTTGATAAAAGCGGCGATATCCTGAAACGGCTTGGATTAAATCGCGAAGACACGCAAAGAACACGGTACCTTCTCGATGTTGTACTTCTCAATGGCCTGGGTCGCGCAGTCGACGGCGTCCTGTTGCATATCCTCGCTCATGTCGGCGTTTTTAATCACTGCTTTGCGATCGGTCATCTTGCTTTCGTTAGGAGAGTGCGACCTGCAACAGACACAAAATGAATTCCTCACACTGGTCCGGATAACGAGCACTTTAGGTCTCGGATACGAACAGTCGCATGGGCAATAAGCTCGCTCATACTACTGGCACGACCCTACCCCATGCCACGGTTTTGTCAATACAACCCAATCAAATTTTTTAAAGGAAATTATGCGAAATAAATCTACGATTGATTATCTGTCTCGTGGAAGACCATGCAAATTTATGCAAAACGAATTGGGGGGAAAGAGAGACTTACGTTAAATTTTTCGGAAGTTTACACTAAACGCGACGAACGGAACTTTGTTTTTTATTTATCGAAAAGTCTTGCTTTTTTTTGCCAAAAATTTTCAACTGTTTGCCACCCTCGATCCTTCCCGGATTCTAGAATTAAATAATGCAATTATTTCATTGGACGACACTTAGAGGCGTCTGGCCGAGGTTTCTGGCATGCGACGCGCGCAGCCCGCTTTCGCTACCAGTGCCGGCTTTATTGAATTTTTTCAAAGTAAAGTAATCCATACAGGGTCGCGTACTTTCAGTATCGCTACTAATTAATATGCATTTTTAAACAATGTTCGTCGTATTCGGAGGTAAGTGAACTTGAATGTAACGCAATTCCAGTTTCTAAGTTACGCACGATACGTAGGTAAAAGGGCCGTTTTCCCGCGTTTCATTTTTTCGAATGGAAAAAGGTGACCGATAGGTCCGTCACAAGAACTTGTGTATACAGTCCCTATTTTTGGCTAAAGGCACAATACCCTTTCCTAAAGTCAAATTGTACTGAATCCGCGTGTAAAAAAAAAGGAAAAAGGCCAACGTGTTTCATTCCTCCGGCACTCCGGACTACAGGAATACCGGAGGCGGGCTGCTCAGGGCTTCCTGGCCCTCTTCAGCCAGAGAACGGGATTGTAAGGATGGGTAAAGTTAGGGATTGGAACGGAAGGAACGGAGTTAGGGTGCTGAGGGGGAGAGTACTGCTCCAGCATTCGCCTCGTAGATTTCAACATAATGCTAGCATTATGCGAAGCTACGTATGTCTGAGGAAAACCCCCTGACAAAACCCCAGACAGAGCAGTCGGCAGCGGGATTCGAACCCACAACCTTCCGAATAGCATCGGTGAGAGCATCCATTGCGCCACGTGCCTCGCGTGTAAAAGTAAGCGGCTCTATATACCTCGTCTTCTAACAACCATCAACAACGGGTTGCTAAGAATCAGCTTTCCGATTTTACCTTCCCCAAAGCAAAGAAATACAACCCCGTGTGGTGGAGACACAAAATCAAGCGACTGATTGTGGACCACCAGAATAAGCGATGGCCAGGGGGCGTTAGGAGTCTATAACTTTTTATTGAGAAGTGTGATCGAAAAAGTACGAATTGTTTTGGATTCTACGCACCAAAATTAATAAGAAAAAGTGTTTTCCCGAGATATTTTGGTGCAGTTGATTTTTGGTAAAAAAGGAAGGTTATACACTGCCTTTTTTGAGACCCGAAAAAAAAATTGTCTCTGATCGATCCGGAAAAACAATGTTCTTATAGAATGTGGCCTATAGAGTCCATAATTTCAAACAGTTCCAAGATTGGGCTATTAGTTCAAAAGTTACAGCCCTTTGAATTTTTTTTCGATATTGGTTTCTAGTCTATAACTTTTGATTGAGAAGTCTGATCGAAAAAGTACGAATTATTTTGGATTCTACGCACCAAAATTAATAAGAAAAAGTGTTTTTCCGAGAAATTTTGGTGCAGTCGATTTTTGGTAAGAGAGGAAGGTTATACACTGCCTTTTTTTGAGGCCCTCAAAAGAAATTGTCTCAGATCGACCCGGAAAAAAATTTTTCTTATAGAATGTGGCCTGTTGAATCCGTAATTTCAAACAGTTTCAAGATTGGGCTACTAGTTCAAAAGTGACAGCCCTTTGAATTTTCTTTCGAAATTGGTTTCTAGTCTATAACTTTTGATTGAGAAGTCTGATCGAAAAAGTACGAATTGTTTTGGATTCTACGCACCAAAATTAATAAGAAAAAGTGTTTTTCCGAGAAATTTTGGTACAGTCGATGTTTGGTAAAAAAGGAAAGTTACACACTGTCTTTTTTTGAGGCCCTCAAAAAAAATGTCTCAGATCGACCCGGAAAAAAATGTTTCTTATAGAATGTGGCCTGTAGAATCCATAATTTCAAACAGTTTCAAGATTGGGCTACTAGTTCAAAAGTTACAGCCCTTTGAATTTTCTTTCGAAATTGGTTTCTAGTCTATAACTTTTGATTGAGAAGTCTGATCGAAAAAGTACGAATTGTTTTGGATTCTACGCACCAAAATTAATAAGAAAAAGTGTTTTCCCGAGAAATTTTGGTGCAGTCGATTTTTGCTAAAAAAAGGAAGGTTGTACACTGCCTTTTTTTGAGGCCCTCATAAAAAATTGTTACAGATCGACCCGAAAAAAAAATTGTCTCAGATCGACCCGGAAAAAAATTTTTCTAATAGAATGTGGCCTGTAGAATCCATAATTTCAAACAGTTCCAAGATTGGGCTACTAGTTCAAAAGTTACAGCCCTTTGAATTTTCTTTCGAAATTGGTTTGTAGTCTATAACTTTTGATTGAGAAGTCTGATTGAAAAAGTACGAATTGTTTCGGATTCTACGCACCAAAATTAATAAGAAAAGGTGTTTTCCTCAGAAATTTTGGTGCAGTCGATTTTTGGTAAAAAAGGAAGGTTATACACTGCCTTTTTTTGAGGCCCTCAAAAAAAATTGTCTCAGATCGACCCGGAAAAAAATTTTCTTATAGAATGTGGGCTGTAGAATCCATAATTTCAAACAGTTTCAAGATTGGGCTACTAGTTCAAAAGTTACAGCCCTTTGAATTTTCTTTCGAAATTGGTTTCTACTTAGGGATCAAGCGTCACAGGTCAGAAGGGAGCAGGGAGCATTCCGGGGCCTGGTTCAGGTCATCAGTCTGAGAAGAAGCCCAAGCTTTCTGGAGTAGGTACTCAAATTTGCCGGTGCTGAAACGAACTTATGGACAAATTGCTTCGGCGGAGCGCGGGGCTCAAGGTGATCATTGTTCCGGTGTCACAGTCTGAGATGAACAGACAGAACCCTTTCTTCGACTAGAATCAGTAGCCATTGTAGCCGAATGGGAGGATCAGTACCTATACCTCAGATTAATCTTATCAGGTCCTGAGACGGAGCGTCACTGGAGCAGCCGTGAGCATCACATAATCAACTGAGCCATTTAACTGGTGAAGCCTTTTCTGAGTGTTACAGTACCTAAGTACTCTATCGCTGTTCACCACCCGCACGTGTAGTAAGGGAGGTATGCACTGGGGAAAAAATGCCCCCCCCCCACTTTTTTGACGGATATACACATTTTCAGCACCAGGAGCCCGAATCAAACAAAATCTCGATGATGTCGGTCGTTCTGTATGTCTGTCGGTCTGTTAGGTCAGTGACAAGAACTTGTGTACAGTCCCTATTTTTAGCCAAAGCCAAAGTCAATTCATTTATTAAGCTTAAGATAATTATCCTCAACCCGTTTATGTGAAAATAGCACGCGTCGGCGGTGTCTAGGTCACTAGCTCGTGGAGGGGGGGGGGCACCCCGACGTTCAGGACAGAGCAGTAGTTACGCGATAGAAGATGCCCTTTCATCAGATGACAGGGTTCCACCAGAATCAACAGGTTGCCATTGTGGCCGAATGAGAACACCTTAGACTGACCTTATCAAGCCCGGAGACTCAGACAAACGTCCTTGAGTAACACTAGGTGATGGCCGTGCTGTACTGGCTTCCGGATGACACGGTCACAATTTTGAAACGCTTGCGGAGGCAATATCATGATCTTAGGACGGGCCTCCGGAGGAATTTCTTCTGCAAGATTCCTTCTCGCATTCGGCATCGCTCGGGAGCTTGACTTCGGTCAAATGACAAAAATCAAGCAGAGAGAAGAGAAAAAAGTCTTCTAAGAAGGTTTTTCCTGTAAAAGCGAAAAAATCAGTGAGATCGCTTATATTCCTGAAATTCCTAATACTTATTCGTATTCTTGACACTCTGTAAGTTTCTTGACATTCTTGAGCTTTCTGAGATTGTTGATGAATGTCTCCATATAGAATTAGTGTGTGGTCTATGGTTGTCGAAAAATATTGCACTAATTTTGTTTTTATTTTTAGAATGTCTATCCTTCGTCACATAAATTATACAGATCCAAAATAATTTCAAAATAACATTCAGTAAATACATACTTTCACCACATTTCATGATTCGTTTAGCCATTCCGACGTATCGCCTGATGATGGACGAGAAATAAAGTCCGAAATCGATAGAGACTAACATTCTAAAAATAAAAACAAAATTAGTGCAATATTTTTCGACAACCTTTCTGAGATTCTTCATGCTCTGAAATTCCTGATTATTTATATTCTTGAGATTCTCTGGAGGTTTCTTGATGTTTTTGAGATTTTTGTGATTATTGATATTTTTATGTGATTATTCAGATTCTTAATATTCTTGAAATTCCTGAGATTCTTCATATTCTTGAGATTCTGGAGTTTTTGGACATCCTTGAGATCCTTGATATTCTTTGGATTTTGGAGATTCTTGAAATTCTTGAGATTCTTGAGATCCTTGAGATCCTTGAGAAGCTTGAGATTCTTGAGATTCTTGACAATCTTGAGATTCTTGAGATCCTTGATATTCTTTGGATTCTCGAGATTTGAGAATCTTGAAATTATTGAGATTCTTGAGATTTTTGAGATTCTTGAGACTGTTTATGTTGCGGAAATTCTTAATATTATTCGCATTCTTGACACTCTGTAGGTTTCTTATGATTCTTGAGCTTCCTGCGATTCTTCATATTCTGAAATTCTTGCTAATTTATATTCTTGAGATTCTCTGGAGGTTTCTTAATGTTTTTGAGATTCTTGAGATTTTTGTGATTATTGAGATTCTTGTGATTATTGAGATTAATATTCTTGAAATTCATGAGACCCTTCATATCCTTTGAAATTCTAGAGATTCTTGAGATTCCCAAGATTCTGGAGTTTTTGGACATTTTTGAGATTCTTGAGATGCTTGACATCCTTGAGATTCTTGAGATTTTTGAGATTCTTGAGATTTTTGAAATTGTTTATGTTCCTGAAATTCTTAATATTATTCGTATTCTTGACACTCTGTAGGTTTCTTGAGATCCTTGAGCTTCCTGAAATTCTTCATATTCTGAAATTCCTGATTATTTATATTCTTGAGATTCTCTGGAGATTTCTTGATGTTTTTGATATTTTTGTGATTATTGACTTTCTTATGTGATTATTGAGATTTTTATGTGATTATTGAGATTCTTTATATTCTCGAAATTCCTGAGATTCTTCATATTTTTGAGATCCTGGAGATTCTCGAAATTCTGGAGTTTTAGACATTCTTGAGATCC